ACATTGAACAGAACTGGCCCTAGAATGGAACCCTGAGGAACACTGCTGGTGACCAGTTGCCAGTCAGATGTAGTCCCATTCACTACAACCCTCTGAGCTCTGCCTTTCAACCAGTTCTTCACCCAGTGCACAAGAACCCACTCATCCCACAGCTGGACACCTAGTCTGGAAGTATGGTGTGAGGAACAGTACCAAAAGCTTTACTAAAGTCTAGAAAAACTACAACCATTTGTTTATTTATCAAAGTATAAAACCAATTCAGTTGCATTATCTATCTTGTTAAAGTTTAACATTAGGCTTTTTGGGTTTTGGGTTGTGGGGATTTTGGGGGGCTTTTTTTGCTTAGCATGCTGCTTCTTAAGGTGAAGATTAGAGAGGAGAGTAGGATCACAGCCTTGGGAGATCAGTAAAAACAGCTGCAATTAATTAACAGACTTCTAGCTTTGAAGCATCCTAAAAAGGATTGAATCTTAAAATGTGTAAAATTCCCTTTGAAGAGATGTTTTCTTGAAGATATTTTCCATATAAATCAATACTCAGAGTTCAGAAAGGTGCCCTCTCTCATTCAAAGCATGATGATTCTTTCTGGCGGTTAACTCGTCCTGTGTCTTCTGAAGAAGAAAGCAGTAGTTCATTAATCTGAAAATCTAAAATTGAAAGATGAATGTCTGGTTATATCAAAATGGGCTGAGAGATGAAAATTAGACTCAAAGAAAAAAAAAAAAGAAAACAAGAAGGGAAAAAACCTGAGAAAGCATATGATTGATGATATTTTTAAGCTATCTGTATTCAAGGTGATAAATTGGGCAATGTCATTGCAAACAGAAGTAGTAAACTCAATATTTTCAATAGATACAGTAAAAACAGGTTTGAAATCCCATTTTCATATGAGAAAATATAGCAACATCCAAGCTATATTTCTTTGTCCACCAGAACAGAGCACTTAAAGCTCGTTGGACAAAAAGTAGCTCATTCATTCTGACTGACAGGAATCGAATGGTTTGTAATTTAAGTTAAAATATTTCTTCTAGTAACATTTTTGCAACATAATAATAATGGAGTACAATTTTCTAATTTAGTGCAAACAGATCAAATTAAATGAAATGTCCCCTGATTTGTCCATCAACAAGAACATGTGCAAACACCCCACCCTCCACCCCGATTATCCCTTATGAAGCATGTTCCTACTTAATACATAATGCCAGTCATATGTTTGACTCTAAAACCTGCAAATATAACATCACAAGCCTTTTCAATGTGTCCGGGAATTAAAATCTTTATATATTAGCATGGAAAATAAATTATTTTGTTAGCAGTAACATGGACAAACGCCTTAGGATTGCAAAATAAGAACCAATATGTCAGCCATGATTTTCAAAGTTATCTGGCTTAAGTATCCGTAGAACTGCCTATGAAATCAAGTGTCTTGTGCACTCAGTTATATGGCAAACTACCTCTCTGCCATTCTGATACAATGATGCTATGAGGCAGAGATACCAGTACAGCATATCATGAGAAAACTCCAACCCTGCAGAGTTACTGCCCTATGTGACAAGAAGCGTCCAGTCCTACTGAGATGTTGAAGAGTCCGTACGTTGACTGTGTGGGTTCAGAGTAAGTTACTGTGTTCTTGTTTGTGTGTGTTGCATACTAAGAATAGCTGTCTGTTGGATTTGCTGAACTTGATAGTTCCCAGGTGTGAGCCTCAGATCTGTAGCATACTAATGAGTCTTTCAGTAGTGTTGGATCAGGAGTCCTCTGATAAATGTGCAGAGCATCCCACAAGAATTTCTAAGTCTTGAGGATGGACAAACATTTAAATCTTTTATAGGGATATGCATTCGCTTTATTCAATGAGATGCTTATATTTTAAAGCCTGTATTTTTCAACTTTTGTAAAGGACATTTATACCCATCCTTAAAACGGTGGGTTTGCTTTCCCTATCAAGTCAGGAAAAATAAGCTTTACCCGTGCTAGATTTCAAATTTGCACTGAAATAAAGTAATTAATTTAAAATACCTATGCAGTTTGTTCCAATTACACTGAAAAATTACTCTCGTCAACAAAAATAATCTTAGAACTTCCCATAGCACAGTCCTAGAGTGCCAATATGTCTGTTGTTTAAAATACAGCATCCTTTCTGTGTATCAAATCACTTGTATTAGAAACCAGCCAAGCAGCAATATGTTTAGTTAATCAATTATCATCCATACCAAGTTTATAATTAAAGGAATATTGACTGCCATGAAGGATATATCTTGTAGCAGAAATTTAATTCTATTCCTCATGCCTGTAATTATCTTGGGTATTTAGGTGGGATTGTTTTATGTTTATTATATGGGTCCCTTTACATTTTTTTTTAGAGAGTCCCCTTCAAGCTGAAATAGTTAAACTTTTCTAATTCTTAATTTGCCGTTAAAAGCCGGAGGGACAATATTCACTTGTCATGTTCAAAGAAAAGCTTAAAAATATTTACATTCTTTTGCATTACATTTGCATTACTTTACATTCCCAGGTGTAAAGTCTTATAAGAAGCTTACTTTCTTAAAGATGTTGCTCGGGTCTTCAAATTACAAAAAATAAGACAAATGTAGAGAGGGGCCGAAGTGACTAAAATTCTTAGCAAAAATTTCAAGGAACTTACTGGTAAATTTCATGCTATCATTTGAGAGGACATACTTGCCATATCATATCTTTGTACAGTTGTAACTTAACAAATTATTGTTCATGTTGTCATAGGGTTGAGTTTATATATTCCCTAAATCTCTTATCTGTTCTGAAAGTATTAAGACTAAATATCACCACATAGGTAATACAAAAATACAGATTCTGAAATGGGTTTATATGACAGATCTGAACTTTATCTCAAACTTGGATATAAATATAATTTAAAGGTGAACTCTGTTCAACATATGTGTACAAAACTCCTACCTGTCCTCGTGTACCATAACAAAACCAGTTTCTTCTGTTACACACTATGGTGGCTAAACTGTGCCAGATCTAATCTGCAGAGAGCTTTGATCATCCTTTGTAAAAACTCAAGGTATGTCAGATGATTTATCATGCACTAGCCCTCAGCCATTCCATGGCTTATTCCCACAATACCCCTGAAACTCATCCTTGGCCGTCAGCCCACACTGAAGTCATTCACTGAAAGTTCTCTGTAATGATAGCACATTACCAGTGGTCATCCTGTCACTGAATCCCCACCCAAATTGTGTTACCTTAGGTCACAAAACGTAGATCTAATGAAAGTATGCCATCTCCCCATGGCTGAGCTGTACCCATCATCTGAGGTGCCGCCAGCCCACACCACTAGTTGTGTGGTCGAGCTTCTTGCATGCTCCAGCAGTGCATACTGCTTGATTTATATAGCAGTCCATTCTTCTCGGTACTTTAAATATACTTATGTACACTAAATACAATGCTATAGCTGTAAGAACAATCCTCATATATTTTCTTCTAGTTCCTCACCATTAGTTTTCCGAGGCTGCTCTCACACATCTATTTTATCGGTATATTAGAGGGATACACTGTTTGGGTCTAGGCTTGCAGTGGTGGAATGAGCTGGTTCTATGTCAAGTAATTCCTGATAAACACCTTAAGCCATGAGGCTCCTATGGCCTTTCTTACCTTTATATTGTGCTGTACAGGATCCATGCGTGTATCTGAACGTCAGACATCTTCCGAAAGAAAATAAAATGTTTCTTTGGAAAATGTCTAATATGCTATTATGAGGAATGCTGAGGCATAAAGGATATTGATTTAGCTAAACTGGGATAGAAAAACTGGTGGAAACTTTTTTGGCCAGAAATTCAGTGTGGCTATCTTGCTCCTAAAACAAACTCAGGGCTGACTTATCAAACCCTAATAGCATTATGAGGAAAAGACTTAATCTAAAAAGATAATGCTTTGAAAAGAGATTGTGTGGTGAGCTTCCTATAGCTGATTAGTGTAATCACTCAGCAGGTTTGGCTTATTAAATTAATAAATTTAAGATTAATTATTTAGCCATTAAAATAAAGGTGGGAAAATCAGACTTTACATTCCCAGATCAAAGTGTGAATCATCTCATATGAAATTTTCTTCTTCTTTAAAGAATAAATTTGATTTTCTTATATGGGAAGTATTTTTTTTCAAAAAGCAAGATAGAGTGGAAAGTTGGCAATGCACAAAGATTAGCTTTATGAGACTATTTTTTAAGCTTTTGTTTTCACTCTTATTGTTATGTACAAGAGAAATGATCTGCTTCTCTCCAGCTAAAATAATCAGAGTGATCAAAATGTTTTCATTTTTGTAATTTATAAAAAAGGGAGAAAATATATCAGATTTCATGATGCTTTACACAGATCGATTGTAGGCTTTTTCCATTTTGATAATTTGTACATCCTTTGATGTAAAAGAAATCAATTGAAAGCATATATTTAAGAAAAAATTATAGCATCTGCCAAATATAGGTTCATGTAAATGTACATGCTTTGCTGCTGGAGCTCAATGACCTCTGTCCGTCTCCATATTTATGTGATTCTAAAAGCTTAACTACTATAATTTTTCAACTAAATTGCATGCATGTTTTAGGCATATGATAAAGTTATCCTTTGAATCCATACTTCATATGGATTTCTAGTAATTTATTGTGGTTTAATTAATAGTGCAAATTATGGTTTGCTTGAAATAGGCTTGCCAGGCAAATAGTCCCTTTGCAGTGCAGTAAGGCTGTCAGGAGAAGGTGGAATTGGCTTCAGTGTGATTTTTCGTATGTCAGTCATATAGTAGTTACTCAAGAAGATCTTTTCTTTCGCTGAACCTCTTCTACACAAAGTTAAGTCTTTGTGAAAGTGACGGATGGGACTGCAGTTAACCTTCATCTTCCAAGCATAGCCAGAAGTTATTGGTGGCATCCTTCAGTAACCTCTGAAGAGTTACTCTCTTCCTTTCTTTGCAGTGAATTATTAATTGCTTCATCTCTGTTTAAACTTTTCTCTTTCTTTTGATCACAGGCAATGGACTGGGAATCCGTGTTGTAGGTGGGAAGGAAATTCCAGGAAGCAGTGGGGAAATTGGGGCTTACATTGCCAAGATCTTGCCTGGGGGCAACGCAGAGCAGACGGGGAAGCTGGTGGAAGGTAAGATAAATGCATTATCAAAAAATGGAACCACGGGAGAACTGCGAGTTTGGTAGCATTATTTGTAATATGCATTTTCTCTTGCACAACGTGTGCAATCTTGTACAAGGAGTGAGGTGCATTTTAGAGCTCCTCTAAACCTCAATGAGTCTTGAAGTAGAAAAGGACTGATGCAAGGTCATTTTAGGACTTCTATAGCCAAAGAGAATTATGTATTATGGCGTGTCTTCAGTAATATGTGCCAATATGCAGTCTGCACTGGGGATAAGAAAGTATGGCTAGAGTCCAACTGTATATCGTGAATCTGTGTTATCCATGTACATTATGGACATGCTGTTTTGAGTATCTTTACCCTGGCTTGATCATCTAGGTAACTATGTTTGGGATTACTTACATTTCTTAGTTGCACAGGTAAAATAGATGACAGATCCAGTTTTCTCTCAGTTACACACACTATTTTTATTAAATTTCCTAAAGTCAGACTTGACTGAATTTAGCTGACCTAACTTTAGTTTTCTAGTTTAAGATAGTCATCCAACCTGCCTCAACAGGCAACAGAGAAGAAGAATCCTCTACAGAAGGGCAGTTATTTCGTTTACTATAGACCTCTGTTTCAAGAACTGGGAGTGTCTTCCTCATTTAATTGCCTTTAAGAAGACTTCATTAGACAACACATCATCCTTTAGGCAATTAAAGCTAGGTGAAATGAATTCAACTTAGTTATCATTAAATTTTCTAGGATTATTACAAATGTGATAATTCTGTCTAATAACAATTTATTCTATCCATCGTCACATAAATGGTCCCTTCTCTGTGTAACTGTTTTCCAGTCTTTTATTCGTATGCATGTCTGTGTGCACCTGAAATGTCAGTATATCCATGGACAAAAATATAATACATTTGTTTCTATTTCATTCAAAGAATTATTTTTGTTTTTCTGATAAAGGCAGATATCCAGGAAAAAAATAACAAAAGAAAAAATATAAGCAGGAAGGATAGTTCTCCCAGGCAGGATTCAATTCGCATGAGTTTTCTGAATAGTAAATATGCAACAAGAGTCATGATTACATCAAATGTGCTTTGCAGGTAGAAAAGATGAGTAAATTGATTAAACAATGTGTTCACAAAGAATAGTCTAAATATGCTGTGGGTATTACAAAACAGTATCACCTGCATTCACCTTACTGCTTTTTACATCCTTGGTCATTTCTTTGCCAATATTTTAATGATATACATAAAAAAGGTGCACATACACTGATGTCAATGAAATTATGTATCAACAAAAATATCTTTCTTTTTTCCCCTATAAAGTTGATTCTGCCATTCATATTTAATGGATAGTATCTCACTCATCAAGTGATAGAATAGTGTTATTTGTTGCACACAAATGATGAAAGAATTTGCCTTAATTTAGTGTGTTTTGATGTAAGTATTTGTTTTGGCTGCCTCCATACAAAAGAGTAGGTCTTTCATAGCTGTGCTAGATTATGCATGCACTGTTTCAGTACCAAGCACATAAAGAGAAGAATGTGATTATGCAACATTTCCCTGAGACTGGTCATTTCAAGAGAGAGGATGAGCAGTTACTGCTTGGAATTATCTCCAGTATTCTGATTTCTCTTGTCAGGAACTTCTCTGGAAATTGAGGTTTAAAGTTTTTCACTCACCATATAGGTGTCTTTCAGCACTGATCAAGAACTTCTGGGAATTACAATAACTACAGGGGAAGTTCAGATGTGGCAGTTTGCTTTTCTGTCTGTTGACAAGATGTATTTTGAAGGTGTATTCATATTTTATAGAAAGAGTAACAGGACAGTAAAATATTTTTTCCTTTGTTTCATTCCCCCGTCATATTTCTGGTTTGACCTTTATAAAAGTATCCTAGACTTGCGTATGTTGGCATAAATCAACTCCCACCAAAATCACTGTACTTAACCTGTAGAATTTGTCCACACAATGTCCCAGAATGTGTTTTCCTACTGATGTGTTAAATGTTCTGTCAGATGCTTTCTGCAGAATATACCATTACTATAGCATACAAGACAAACACTTCCCCTTACTGTCATTTACCTTTTAAATCTTGCCTTTATGTCTGGTTTACTTTTTGTTATTTTAGATGGCTATCATAGATCAACAGGGAGCATTTGGCTACTTCACTGTTAGTTTTGTTTGTTCATTTTAGTGGAAATATGGCTGATGCACATTTTATCTCTACCCTTCAGAAGTGCTAAAATCCACTGAGGTCTTCAATCATCCTCATATTGATCTGTGTAAATCCAGTCAAACTACTACTGTTACCAATATTGCTGATATTTCGAGTCTGAAAATGCAGGCTAGCCCTCATTTCTTTTTCAAGATATTTGCTGTCTCTCACATCACATACAGAAAACTTTATATGTCATTATCTGTAAGTAATTATTACATATTAGTAATTTGTATAGTAATCATGAGTCACTTTTTCTGCTGAAATGCTGTGTGACTTCAAGTTAGAGCACATACTTAGTCATCAGCTAAACGTATACTAATGTCATTACAAGCTCATATCTTGATTCATTAGCCTTTCTAAGAACATGATTCACTGCGAAAAATCCCATCAAGTTAATTAATTTCTCTGATTCTAAAAACAGAAAACACTGGGTCAGGTCTGAAAATCCTATCATTAGCGTAAGGAACAAGGATAGAGTTACTGTGGTTGTGAAGGAAGGTAAAGTCCTACCTGCTGTCTGCACGATTGCACCTATGAGGAAATGACACACTCTAAAATACAGATAGCATTCCTTTCCATAGGGAATATCAATCCATAAAATTTTAGCCTATTTAAATAGCTTTGGCAGAGTCTTAGTACTGAAAAGTTTATTTATAGTTCTGACTGACAAATACCAGCCTTCTTGGTTCTCTCACCTTGAATTGCTTTCAGATGTCGAAAATATCTCTGATTCATCACTCACTGGCATTACAAAAACTGGAGGTGGAAGACTCAGGGACTGTGTCAATTTGATAGATGTGTCTGTGCTCCCTCTCGTGTTGACAGAAAGAGTTTGGTTATATTCCACCTGGTAAATCTACTGGGTGAACAGCATTTTATACTATCACCATTTCTCAGAAGCAGAAGAACATAGAGGAAAGAGCAGAAATAAGATATTAATGTGTGTTACTAACTGTTACATATTTGCTGTGTGCCCTCAGCAGTTGAGTTTTCTTATTGGACCATTTCAACGGGCTGACTGGAGAGCCTGGGAACTGGTGAACCAGGGGTGTCTTTATTCCAGGTTTCCAATCAGCCAGGCATAGTGTGTTGAAATGCTTAAGCCCAGTGACATTCACCAAGATTAAGAGATTCCCTGACTTTCCAGTCTCCTGGCAATTCTGGCGAACTTGCATGGTCTAAAAGCTAATGGTGAGCTTGATTTGTGGTGATCTTAATGCCTTTGCTGACACTCCACTCAACAGACACTTATCAGATTTTTGTTAACTTGTCCAAGGCTTTATGGGTGCATGTTTATTTTAATAAGTATGCCTCATTTAAATTATGTCTTCCCAAAGTTAAAAATAGGAAAATAAACTGTAGAGAAGACAAAAAACTCTTTATTATTAAAAATATGGAAATCACACCCCAGTTTCTATTTCATAGCAAATATCACAATGCAACATTTCTAGCATAACATGGAAGGATGCCACCTACCTTATGAGTCACAGAACTTCACTGTAGAATTTCAGCATATAAACAGTCCGTGCTAGCAAAGAGACATGCTTTTCAATTCAATTCAGTTGAATTTTGCATTTCATAATTTAATAAAAATATCCATCATACAGGGATATTTTAAGCTTCCCCATTCTGAAGCTGGTCCAAAACCTACCTGATGTACTTACAGACAAGATAATGCTGCCCTGTTAAAGCTGTTAAGTAGGTCAGAGAAGAGAAACTGTACTGCTGTTTCAGAGTTCAGTGGAAGTTAATGATGCCCTGCCCCTAAGTCCAGTCCTTAGGCGCTTATTTTGATCCCCCCTTAGGATGCAAGAAGCATTGCTCCTCAAAGCACCATTAAGGTCCTCAAGGAAGAGCCATCTGCAGCCTGATGGCAGGTACCAAGAGCAGGCAAAAACACATCCAGCGTCCTCAGCATCAAAGTCTGAATATTGACGATGAGTCCTTAAATGTACTCTGTAACTTTTAGACTTAGATCCAACCGCTAAGGTGCAGGTGGTCAGTTTTCCAAATTGGTTGGTTGCCTTTTATTGTGCTGTAAATTCCCCAGGCCATGTGGCCCGTTCCCCTCAGGAGAGTATTTTAGATGAGTGGGTCTTTATTGGGAATGTCAGAGCTCTCTGTCATCTTTAGAAAACTGCAATCTCAGAACTTTAAGATGCCTTCAGGAAATGAAACTGAAGTCTCCCCATCCCTCTTATCCTTATTTATTCGTACTTCATTTCCTTCTTCTACAGAAAGTCTTACATATTCTTACATATTCAAGTGTCACAATTTCCTTTTGTAAGAAGACCTGCGGTGCACAGCTCTCTCTAATGCCCTAATGTGAGGACAAATAAACATTAGAATTGTTCCTCAGCTTGAAACTAAGAATCTTCCCTTGGACTGTCGTGGGACGGCACAGCTTATTATCTCTTGAAGCCATGGACCATGGCCATGGTGTCAAAGAAAACAATTCCTCACAGATATTACGCCAATATGGGGAGAAATATGTTCTTCACTGCTTACCAACATACTGCTTTCCACACCAGGGCTGACATATGAAATGAACAGTGTGTATCAAAACATCACGCTGTGACGGTCAAAAGAGGGCACGTCTAGATCAGAGGGAAATGTTTTCCAACCAAAACAGAATGTGATAGGAGAAAGGAGCAAAGAGCTATTTGGATTACTTCCACGGACTTCAGAGAGCAGCCAGGCCCCCCACCTTCAGTTTTCTGAGGTAGGAGGCAGACCCAGGAAGCCCTGTCAGAAGTCTGCCTTAACCAGGATGCTCTACAGCCCTCACCCATGA